TAATTTTTTTTTTTTTTTTCTTCTTCTTTTTTTTTTTTTCTTTTCTTTTTTTTTTAATAATCAATCAGATAATGGATTGGCTGTTTGGGGGGATAAACGTTTGTTCGTTTGTTTTTTTTTTCTTTTTTTTCTTCTTCTTTATATCCTTTTCTTTGTTTGTAGCGTTACTAATATTGGAAATAGATCAAATTGCAAGTGGGGAAAAGAAGAATGATAATAAGAGAGTAACCTTTCTACTTTAGTCGAAACCGTTAGACAGTAGAAAGAAACACAAAACACATTTCTCTACGGTGTACGAAATCATTAGAATAATAATAGTAATCACAAAAGAAAAGAAAAAATGAAAACACAAACCCTTTTCCCTCTACGCTAAGATGGTGGTTTTCTCTACCCCTAAAAAAAACACAACAAAGTGGAAAAAAAAAAAAATTAGGAACAATACCCATCTTCAAATAAAGAGAACAAAAAAACAGTAATAGGAGCTTTGGAGTAGTGCTGCAGCCCTCAGGGATTTTCATTGCGACCACCTTCCAAATAGCACAAAGAACAGAAACCCCCAATATTGCCCCAAAAACCGGAGACACATTGCAATCATATTTGTATGAAAAAAAACAAAAAAAAAATGTTGCTCCTGTGCGAGAAACATCAAAATATCAAAAAAAAAGTTATTTTACCGACAGGACTACGAGAATACTTTTCCTTCAACAAAACATGTACGTATTTTACCAAACAAAAACATTTTCCATTAATGTATATAAATTCAAGTATATATGTGTAGACGTGTATATACGTAGAGAGAAGTATGTAGTAATATGAATAGATATATTTATATATTTATATATTTACGTATATATGTATAAAGATGTATGTAGTTATATGAATAGATATATAAATATATTTTTATATATTTATACGATCAAAACAGAGCCACAATAAGAGTTGAGCCCAGAAGAGCTAGTAATGGCAGACGAGGAACGAAGTAAAAAGATCCATCACAGATAAGTGAATCTAATTCGCCGTTTAAATAAGAACTAAACATGCATTCCATCTGGTCTGTCGTCTCTGTTGGGGTCGCTGTGGATTCGTGGGCACCGCCAATCGTATTCTTCGGCGGTTCTTCGTTCTTACTTTCAGGTGTTTCACTCCTGACATCATTCCTCATATCATCTCCGTCTCTGGCAGCATCAACCGCAGTACCAATATTATTACTACTACTGGTGCCATCAGTACTTCGTTTTTGCCGTGTCTCCGCTCCTGGTTTATCTTCTTCACGCTGTGGTGGACTCACATTCCCTTCCGTTGGCTTCTTCTTAATTGCCGCTACATCTGTGTCTTTGTTTAAGAGCAGCGTGTTGATTTCGCCTTGACTCAACTCCCGGTTGTACAGAAAAACATTCGTCACAGTCACACGACTATCCGACTTCACATGACGGTTCTTATACCCACCAATGTAGAAGTGTGAAACATCAGTGGTCAGCGTCCTGTGCTTAAGCTCCCTCCGTGAGCCACCCAGAAGCCTACCATCAATATAGATAGATCCCACATTCTCCTTTACTGAGAGCACCACTTGATACGTTTTGTTTAGTTCCCATGATCCTGTTGACAGACAGTACAATTTCCCATATATGGGATTCCATTTCATATCATGGGTGTATGAGAGTCCAAGAACCTTGTAGTAATCACTCTCATCCATGCTCACACCCAACAGCGGGACTGGAACTCTTGTTTCTGGGGGTTGTTCATCTATTTTAACGGTTGCCACCAGAGTGAATACGTGGTTTACAAAGTGATATCGCTGATTCTGCCCTTGTTTACTCACTGGCCACCGCGCCCCACCACCATATCCTCCTTTGAACCTCAAACCATTAGGCACCTTCTCTGCATGTGCTATTTCAGCATCTACGCAGCGGTATGCATCTCTCCAGTGATTATTGTTAACTTTATCTGAAAGGAATCCAACAAGCCCAGCTGTGGGGAAAGAAGCATCACATCTCTTTTCACAAGGCGCCACCAACTTCGGTTCAGTAGAACTGCAAATACTCGAGAAGTTATTGTCCTGATCGATCCAGGTCTTCACCACAGACTTGATTAAATTCAACTCCTCTTTCAGCTCCAGAAAGGCAAGACTGTATCGCTCGTTATGATTTACCTCGTGTAGGCAGTACAACTTATCATTCTTGTATAGCAGAGAACTGTAGGCAGCATTCTCATCGCCAACGGAAATCTGACCAACATCAAATATGCGGTTGTTATCCGTTAACCAAAGATGGAGTCGGTCTCGCTCCCACTTTCCCTTGAAATTCAACGGATGGGTAAACAACATCACACGCTTTCCCTCAATCGTCACGGGTATAAAACTACTCTGGCTGCCAGGGCCTTCACGTGTTGGTGAGTTGCCCCACACGCGGGAGAGTGTTCCCACAGCTTCCACCCATGTTTCTCCCATGTCTGTGGATTCAAAGACTTTGCGATAGCCACTGTCCGTCCGTGCGTTCAATATGAGTTTCCCCTCCCATTCAAGAATAACGGGTTCAGTGCATCCTACTTGGGTCAGGCCACTCGCAATCTTCCATGTCTCACCATCATCTTTGGAATACATGATTGTGGAAAAGAATTGACCTCTTTTATTCTTGACTTGTATGGGGTAAACAAGGGTTCCATTTTGTATTACTATGGCAACACCCGTACCACCAAGGAATTGCTCCATGGGCGAACCACGAAATTCGGGGGGGTTTCCATAATTCACTCGTTTGGGTTTACTCCATTTGATTGTTGCTTTCACCTTACCATTTTCGTTTGTCTTGCTGACCTCACCAACAACCAAGAGAGGATCCCAATCTTTTCCAGCATGCCACTGCCAGTAGTTGTCTGACGTATTGTAGCTTCCAACAAAAACAAAGATCTTCTTATCCTTCACGATGACTGTGGGGTCCACCACACGGGAATTTGTTGTACTCACGCGATTGTTCTTGATTGCAATTTGTGTTGTCCACGTCTTGCCATCGTCCACGCTGTGCGCTGACAGTGTTTCAATGAAGGAGTTATCATTAGAATCGTCATAGCGAGCGTCAGCGATGGCAACCATCACCCCGTCCACGTCAATAAGAGAAGGAATACGAAATGAATGGACCTTCCTTTCAACAATTCTTCCATTTTTCTCCTCAAACGGCACTTTAGATTCCCCTTGCTTAAACAACATGGTTCGGCTTTCCTCACGGCCACTGATGGTTTGCGCATATATCAGCCAACTGGAGTGGCAACATAAAAGGAGAAACAACACAAACACCACTCGGTGAGACATTCTGTGTTTCAGTACGCCCACAACACCCTTCCGAGTTCAACCAACCAGGCAGTGTCTGACGTCACGTTCCAGATGGCGGAGAATTCGCGATGCACTTCTTCAGCAACTAGCGCCTTGTTCTTCTTACTATACAAAGAGAGCAAGAACAAATAAAAAATAGAGAAAACAAATAAAAAGGATGAGAGTGACACAGAAACCCAAATTAAAACCCATATACATACATATATATGGGAGAGAGAGACAGAGTGTTAAATGTGGTGAAAGAGAGTGTAAATTGCCACCCAACAGAAATCCCAATCCCAGTCCCTCATTATGTAAAATATTTCTTCAGCCCATTGAGGATGTGCAATGACGATCATCATTCTTCTTTCGTAATTCTTCACTTATGATGCATACCAAACATGACAATCAATAACAATAATAATAATATTATTATTATTACTATTATTAACAGTGCAATTACACCCACCCGTGACCCATATATTCTTTTCAATTACCAAGAATAGAGAATAATGAAATCAACATACACATCCTCATTATATATTTATTATAATTTAAAAGGAGCTTTGGAGTAGTCCTGCAGCCCCCAGGGATTTTCATTGCGTCCACCTTCCAAATAGCACAAAGAACAGAAACCCCCAATATTGCCCCAAAAACCGGAGACACATTGCAATCATATTTGTATGAAAAAAGAAGTTACTCAAATAAAAATGCTGCTCTTCCGAGACAGACATTAAAATAGGAAAAAGAACTTTTTTTAACAGTTATGTTGCTCTTCCGAGAGAAACATCAAAATAGCAAAAAGAAGTTTTTTTAAATATTAATGTTGCTCTTCCGAGAGAAACATCAAAATAGCAAAAAAATTGCTTTTTTAATAAAACTGTTGCTCTTCCAAGAGAAACATCAAAATAGCAAAAAAAAATTTTATTTTAATAAAACTGTTGCTCTTGCGATAGAAATATCAGAATAATCTCAGCCTTGCTTTCCCCATCACCTTAATGAATCACATAAATAGAAGAAACTAAGAGAAATATAACAACTACCTTTAAGAACCCTACATTCCCCCTGAAGTACGTAAATCGATCCCAATGGTATTCCCCCCGTGTGGTTGTTCTCTGATTAATGCCAGAACTGACAAAATGGAAGTGGTGAGAAGCCCTTTTAACCCGCCTACTCGCTCGAGGCAGTGAGGGTCGGATTGGGTGGGTGGGCTTTTCAGATACTAACATTTGGCAGACTGTGAAGAAGAAAAATGAAAACAATATTTTCAATAAAACATACTTTAAACCTAATCAGTAGGTAAATGGCGCAAGGGTCGACCATTCTCTTCGCAAGCTGTCAAAATAGCAAAAATAAGTTATTTTACTCACAGAACTCCAAGAATACTTTTCCTTCAACAAAACATGCACGTATTTTACCAGACAGAAACATTTTCCATTAATGTATATAAATTCAGGTATATATTGTGTAGACGTGTACATAGATATATGCTCACGTACAAGTGTATAAGCAAACGTATATATGTATAAAGATGTATGTAGTTATATGAATCAATATATACATATATATTTATATATATTTATACGATCAAAACAGAGCCACAATAAAAGTTGAGCCCAGAAGAGCTAGTAATGGCAGACGAGGAACAAAGTAAAAAGATCCATCACCGGTAGGTAACTCTGATTTGCCGTTCAAATAAGCATTCAATGCGCCTGCAATCTGGTCTGTCGTCTCTGTTGGGGTCTCCGTGGATTCGTGGGCACCGTCAATCGTATCGTCAATCGTATCATCAATCGTATTCTTCGGCGGTTCTTCGTTCTTACTTTCAGGCGTTTCAGTCCAGACATCATTTCTCATATCATTTCCGCCTCTGGCAGCATCAACAGCAGTACCAATATTATTACTACTACTGGTGCCATCAGTGCTTCGTTTTTGCCGTGTCTCCGCTCTTGGTTTATTTTCTTTACGCTTTGGTGGCCTCACACTGTCTCTCGGTACTACTTCCGTTGGCTTCTTCTTAATTGCCTCTACATCTGAGCCTTTGTTTAACAACAGCGTATTGATTTCGTCTTGACTCAACGCCCGGTTGTACAGAAAAACATTCGTCACAGTCACACGACTATCCGAGTACACATTACGCCTCTTATACCCACCAATGTAGAAGTGTGAAACATCAGGTCTCCACACCCTGTACTTAAGCGAAGTCGGTGAGCCATACAGAAGCTTACCGTCAATATAGATAGATCCCACTCTCTTGTTTACTGTGAGCACCACTTGATACGTTTTGTTTACTTCCCATGACCCTGTTCGCATATACGAATCCGTTCCATATATAGGATTCCACTCCATATCATGGGTGTAGGAGAGTCCAAGAACCTTGTAGTAATCATGGTGAACAAGGCTCACACCCAACAGCGGGACTGGAACTCTTGTTTCTGGGGGTTGTTCATCTATTTTAACGGTTGCCACCAGAGTGAATACGTGGTTTACAAAGTGATATCGCTGATTCTGCCCTTGTTTACTCACTGGCCACCGCGCCCCACCACCATATCCTCCTTTGAACCTCAAACCATTAGGCACCTTCTCTGCATGTGCTATTTCAGCATCTACGCAGCGGTACGCATCTCTCCAGTGATTATTGTTAACTTTATCTGAAAGGAATCCAACAAGCCCAGCTGTGGGGAAAGAAGCATCACATCTCTTTTCACGAGGCGCCACCAACTTCGGTTCAGTAGAACTGCAAATACTCGAGAAGTTATTGTCCTGATCGATCCAGGTCTTCACCACAGACTTGATTAAATTCAACTCCTCTTTCAGCTCCAGAAACACAATACTGTAGTTCTCGTTATGATTTACCTCGTGTAGGCAGTACAACTTATCATTCTTGTATAGCAGAGAACTGTAGGCAGCATTCTCATCGCCAACGGAAATCTGACCAACATCAAATATGCGGTTGTTATCCGTTAACCAAAGATGGAGTCGGTCTCGCTCCCACTTTCCCTTGAAATTCAACGGATGGGTAAACAACATCACACGCTTTCCCTCAATCGTCACGGGTATAAAACTACTCTGGCTGCCAGGGCCTTCACGTGTTGGTGAGTTGCCCCACACACGGGAGAGTGTTCCCACAGCTTCCACCCATGTTTCTCCCATGTCTGTGGATTCAAAGACTTTGCGATAGCCACCGTCCGTCCGTGCGTTCAATACGAGTTTCCCCTCCCATTCAAGAATAACGGGTTCAGTGCATCCTAGTGCTTCCACGCCACTCCCAATCTTCCATGTCTCACCATCATCTTTGGAATACATGATTGTGGAAAAGAATTGACCTCTTTTATTCTTGACTTGTATGGGGTAAACAAGGGTTCCATTTTGTATTACTATGGCAACACCCGTACCACCAAGGAATTGCTCCATGGGCGAACCACGAAATTCGGGGGGGTTTCCATAATTCACTCGTTTGGGTTTACTCCATTTGATTGTTGCTTTCACCTCACCATTTTCGTTTGTCTTGCTGACCTCACCAACAACCAAGAGAGGATCCCAATCTGTTCCAGGATGCCACTGCCAGTAGTTGTTTGACGTATTGTAGCTTCCAACAAAAACAAAGATCTTCTTATCCTTCACGATGATTGTGGGGTCCACCACACGGGAATTTGTTGTACTCACGCGATTGTTCTTGATTGCAATTTGTGTTGTCCACGTCTTCAAATCGTCCACGCTGTGCGCTGACAGTGTTTCAATGAAGGAGTTATCATTAGAGTCGACATAGCGAGCGTCAGCGATGACAACCATCACCCCGTCCACGTCAATAAGAGAAGGAACACGAAATGAATGGACCTTTCTTTCAACAGTTTTTCCATTCTCCTCAAACGGCACTGTAGATACATTTCGTTCAAACAACGTGATTCTGCTTTTCTCACGGCCACTGATGGTTTGCGCATATGTCAGCCAACTGGAGTGGCAACATAAAAGGAGAAACAACACAAACACCACTCGGTGAGACATTCTGTGTTTCAGTACGCCCACAACACCCTTCCGAGTTCAACCAACCAGGCAGTGTCTGACGTCACGTTCCAGATGGCGGAGAATTCGCGATGCACTTCTTCAGCAACTAGCGCCTTGTCCTTCTTACTATACAAAGAGAGCAAGAACAAAAAAAAAAGAGAGGAAATAAATTAAAGGTGTGGGTAGTGTATTTATTACTTAAACAGGCAATAGATGTCGCATTTTAGCTTTGGCAAAGTGCCTTGTTTTTAGTGGGTTGGGTAATAAGCCATCCATTTGCCCACCAGTGCGGTGAACACCATGAGGTGGAACGTCTTTAGCAACTCTGCAGCTCTCAAAGCAACACCAAACATCACAACATCATCATAACAATAACAATAGGAAGAGAAATAACAGTAAAGAACAGTAAAGAAAGAGGAAAACTCCTTTTTTTTCTTTATTTATCGTCTATACCAAAATCCAGTGGAGGTGGTTTGTTATTCCGCTTTCGTATATGTCGTTCCTTAGACTCCATATTCTCAAATGTAAAGTTGTTTGCTGGGAATCCATACGTCTGACCTGCATACATGCCGCTTAGCCAGCGTAAGGAACTTTCCTTTACCTTTTCCTCTGTAAGAGTAGTACTATTCTTCAGGATATAGGATGACTTGGCCGTACGTGTCGCTACCCACATCTTTGTATGTCGTGTAAACCCATAATCCCCCACCTCGTCAAAGGAAATATCCTCCAAGTAACATAACAGGGCGTGTGGGTGATCGTTTATTATTTTTCGAATAAGTTCCTCCTCCCATGCGAGTCGGGAGAAGACAACGAGACGACCATCATCGCGTAGCATTGGTAAGACATTCTCTAGTGTTTGTCGTAGTTCGTACATTTCGTTATTTACAATACACCGTAGGGATGTGAGAAATTTCCATGACATGGGGGCCTTACGTCGACTACTTTGTGTCCACCAACCATCCTCTGGAAGCATATCTCCAGCCGTTTCAACACTTGCAAGTACTTCCCGTGAACTTGTGAATGGACGACGACGACGTATTTCTCGAGCCATTTTCATAGATTGTTCTGGTGTTAAAATCCCATAAGCACTTAATGCAGAGGATAAAGTATGTTGTGGGACAGTATTAAGATAGGCGAGTGCGGCTACTCCCATTTGTAGTCCATATCGCATATCTAAATGGTGGGCACCCTCATCATCAAGAAGAAATCCACGTTCAGGATTCTCCAATTGTGTATTAGATGGACCTGCATCAATCATCACAGCATCAAAACACCTTTCACCAAACATAGATCGTGCCTCTGACATCTTGCTGCAAAAAAAACGAAAACGATCTCCACCAAACTCACTTGCTAACTCTCGAGCTACATGCATAGCATCTCTATCACAATCAAGCGCTACCACACGTGTGTATGGTCCTCCATTTTCAAGAATAGCTCCTGTGTGATTACCACCACCAAGTGTACAGTCAAGTACATCATATGAAATGAGTCGCTTTTGTTTGTGCACATGAACGGAAAGACCCCCTGTTACTGTTAAGGCATCATTAGATGCTGTGAGTGGAAGTGCAGGAGTTTTAGTACTTTCTTTAATCATTTCCCGTTGTATTAAACGACGTTTTTGTAATGGTGCTTTTTTCACCTTTAAAGCCTGCCGCATTGTCCGTGTACTTGGATAACCCTCTTCAATAGCTCGTGAAGCTAAATGTTCTGCCAGTGATTTTGTGTCTAACCAACGTAGTCCACCACAAACGCCTTGGAAGAGTTGTTTCATCATAAGTGGGGGGTGTTCGACTCGGTTCATCTCCGACCACCGCCTCGGCGCGATGATACGTTTCATGTATGCATTCTTATTAGTTTAACAGTTATATATATATATATATATATATATATATATGTGATATATGTGTGTATAGGTAAATAATAATAAATTAGGAAAAGGTGAAGGAAAAAGATAATAAATAAGGAGTATTCCTTTTTTTTTTTTTTCTTTCTTTTTGGAAAATAGGGGAAGTGGAATATAAAATAAAAAAAAAAAAAAACACATATGTAAATATATTAATTACAGAGTAATGATGGGGCAATTCTTTCTTTTTTTTTTTATTTTTTTTTTTTTGTTCTTGTTGGTGAGTTGTAAAAGGTCACAATGGCTCTTGGTAATATGAACTTACCCTACTGTTGATTATATGAGGAGGAGAGTCCACATAAGGCAGTACCTGCGACTACTAAACTACATCCCAATAAGGTTCGTGGTTGTAATGCACCTTCTTTAAACACAAGAACACTAGTGAGTACAGTAATCACAAAGGCTAGTGAATTAGCAACGATACTTCCTACTGCTACATCAACACTACGCAATCCTGCAAAGAAAACCACGGAACCACTTAAGTTGATAAGCTGAGTTATCAGATATTTTGGTCGAGAAGCCAAAAAACGCAAATCTTCTAAGAATGAAGAGGAAGATGATGAACCACTTGCTATACCCTTACTATAATGTTTAAGTAATGGATTTGTGATGCCCCAGATAATAGCTGCAAGTAAAAGGAGAAACATTCTCCTTCTCTACCTTATATATTTATTAAACAAAGAGAAAAAGAAAGAATAAAGAGATGCATTATTATATCAGTAGAATGTTTTCCTTATCGTCAATAACTCTCCAGAGAAGAGAAAATAAAAATAAAATAAAATAAACCCCTCGTCCATAATTTCCTTTTTTTTTTTCTTTCTCCTTCTTCTACAACAACAAGGTCATATTTAAAAATCTCATGACTAACGTTTAGCAAACTTCCTCTTGACCTTCTTTCCATCCAGATAACCAGGGAACTGCCCTCTTTCACGACGACGATCAACAGAGAGTAATCCAGACTTTTTAAGTGGAATACGAGTAAGTGGGAGTAGTTTAACAAGAGCATTAGCTACAGACATACGTAATGCAAATGCTGCAATCTCATTGGCAATGGAAGGCATTGCATGTCCTTCTGAAACAATGTGTACATCAAAGTCTCTATAGTCTAAAGCAGCTTCATCAAATGGCATAAGTACCATTTCCATTAACCAAGCTTTATTATCAAGTACGAGTGAAAGTGGTTTTCCCATTACAGTAATACTACCATTATGATCACGATTTTCACGTAGAAGTGCAATAAATTGATATTTCTCTCCATCTGCACATCCACGACCAACAGCAATTCCTGTTTCTTGATCCACCTCTGGTTCATCAATACGTACACCAATTTGATGACGTGAATCCTCACCAGCCACTTTACGTGAAAAGTCTTTAAGGACTGTGTAAAAATGACTGTAGCTATCTGCACTGTCTGACTGAAGGGTAGCCTTACTCATAAGTTTATAATTCTCAAACATAACACGTACATCATCTCTGTTAAACTTACGACGACTGAACTGAAAAAGGGCATGTTCTGTTTTAAATGCCCTAGTCTCTGTAAGTCGGCCCATCCATTCCAAAAAGTTAGTGTAATGACCAGGCGCATTATCAAGTCCAACAGCATCTGCAGTAATTGTACGACTTAATTGTCGAGCGGCGGTGTTCATTGGTTTACTGATGGATTCCAGTGTACACTGTACAAGAGCTTGTGCCTCATATGTACTCATCTCTGGAAAGAGAGCTGCCAGTACTTCTCCTAGCTGTTCCGCATCTATTCCATCCACAGACGCATAATAATCCTCTACAGATTGAAAGTAAAATCCTCCACTCACACGCATCCACGCCTCTTTTAATGACTGGGCGGTGAGTTCTAATCGCAACTCATCGCGGAGGGATGAAAGTGTCTTGTGTTCGGCTGGCACATACTCTCCTGGGTACATGGGATATTCACGAAAATGAAAAAGATTCCCATGTGTAGCTTCTGCTGTGGAAGCAAAAGAGTTTTCACCTACTTCAATTGGCATTTGTCGTTCTCTTAACTGCTCTTCTTCACGTGATAATTCAATATCTTTATTGCGTTTTACATGCGAGTTTACCCACATCAAACGTTCACCGTCTGTCTTTGGAACACCAGCAGGTGGATTAGGTGAAGCGGCAAGACTTTGTGCGAGTCTAAACAGACGGGCATGACGTGCAGTTCTCGGCGAAAGTAAATGATGCATATCTCTCTCTCTCTCTCTTTATATTTTTCTTTGTTTTTCTTTTTCTTTCGTTTTTTTTTTTTCTTTCTCACGTCGTTATTACTTTTTTTCTTTCTTTTTTTCTTTGCTTTCCTATATTTTTCTGTGTCCTCTCCTTCACCCCTGGGTGTAGATATATATATATATATATATATATATATTGTATGTATATCTTCACACAGGAAGAAGAGAAAAGGGGTGTGGCCGTATGTTTTTCCCCACGCCTCTTTCTCCCAGGAAAGTGTTTGTACTTAAAATGAAGAGTAAAATATAAAAAGAATAAAGAAAAGAAAAGAAAAAATGGAGTGACAGTACTTTCAAAGAAAAAAAAAAAAAGAAGAATAAAAAGAAGAAGCATTAACTCTTCTCCTTCCCCTCTTAAGGCACCAGAGATAGATAAACATAGATATATAAAAGGAGAAAAAAAAAAAAGCTTTAGAAGTCAAAAAGAAGAAAAAAAAAAAATCGTGATTATGTTTTTTTTTTTTTTTTTTTTTTTTATTTCTTTCTTCATTATTGTTTCACTACTCTCTTCTTTCCTTTGGGACTCTTATTGCAATTGCACAGAAAATCATCTCTTTTATATTCTTCACTCCCCTCCTCTTCCTTCTCTTCTTCTTATTTTTTTTTTTTCTCTTGCTGGAGCGGCATGAGAATCGCGAAGCAACATGCAAGAAAAACAAAAACAAAAAAGAAAAAGAAAAGAAAAAAAAATGAAAATGAAAAAGATTCACAATATGCGAATCCGAAAGATGAAAAAAAAAAAAAGAAAATTTAAAAAACATGTGTGGAAAGAGCTAAAACCACAAGAGCGATACAAAATGGCTTTCTGTAGAAGAAAGAAAGCAAAAGAAAAAAAGAAAAAAGAAAGCAACGCAAAGGTATAAATATAAGAAAGAAATACCTCGACTATGAAATTCATTTCAGAATAATGAAAAATTAAAAAAAAAAAAAATGGGTTCACGCTATTGTTCCTATGTACGTTATTATTATTTTTTTTTTTTTTTCTTTCAATACTATGAGGACATGGAAGAGGCAATACTACTTATCTTTGAAATTGTTTCCATCACAAGACGTTCCTTCTCTTGCAATCTTTCTCGACACCGCCGCACTTCCTCTTGTTGTCGTTCCAGATCCAACAAAAGTGCTGAAAGTTGTGATTTACTTTCCGCAGATCCTTTTTCTTTTTTATTTCCCTGCAGTGGTGAGGCGGAGGTGGTGGAGGAAGAAGAATGATCCATTTTCAAAGGATCTGCATACTTATTGGGTGTAGGTGTAGGAGTCATATCTGGTTTCTTAAGTTTGCCTGGTGTTGGAGTAACGCTAAGAGATTTCGCAGGTGTGGCGTTTACGGATTTGTGTTTTGCTGGAGTGGCATCCACATGTTTCTCCTTTGCTGGAGACATAAAAGATGTTGTTTTGGAATCTCGTGAATTGGAATCAAATACAGATTGCATACCCTTCACCAGTGGATCTTTATTTTCTCCATTAAAGTAATCCTCTGCTGTCATTGCGGGGGTATCAGCAAAGGTTGGGGGATAGACATCTGTTTGTAATTCCACATCTGCCTGTCTACGCGGAAGAAGCATTTGAATAGTATATAAAGTTTTGGGTGTAAGTGCGTAAAAGCGTCCAATTTCACATTGACGGGTATCCAAAGACCATTTAGGAAACATGCAGAGTCCTTTATGAACTTCACTGGAAGTATAGGCAGCACAATTCACAAGATGTCCATCCATACATTCATAGAAACGAATACTACCCTCACCTCTGCTTCCAATATATAATATACTGGTATCTTCATCAAAGAATGGCAACATAATAGAACTGGATTGATCGATATCTTCAGTTTGTACAGGAGATGACATTTTACGAGCATCCCATACCATCGCCTGACGTGCTTGTGTTTTACTAAACCCAACTGTCATGATAAGATTCAGTCTTCTTGCCCATACACAACGTTGTGTTTTTCCTCCCTGATGGGCATCTCCAGAGGAAACAATGGAACCTTTTCTGGGATCCACAATATTCACTTTTCTGTCTTTTGAAGTTGTACAGAGAAGTGAACCGTTAAGATTCCAATCAAGTGACATAATTTGTTCATTATGACACTTTACCACTTCACCTGCTTTATTACAATTTACATCCCATATATTAATAACCATATCCGCCCCAGCAGAGGCAAGTACATTAGAGGCACTGGGGTGAAAACTCATAATACCCACCTTCTTTGTATGTCCCTGTAAGTGTACAATATTATCTGTGCAATTCTGTGTAAATCCCTCTTCTGGAATATTCCATCCCATAATAGTACCATCCTCACTAGCTGTGAAAAGTTTACTGGAATCAAATGGATTAAACGCAAGATCAATAATAGGACCTTCTTGACCAGATAGAATAGGTGGATTAGGTGGGATCTTTCCATAATCTGTGTGGCGTAATACTACCGTACTGCCGAGTTGAGCCCATGGTACTGCGACAAAGCGATCATTACAAGCAATCATATTACTGCAGTCCCATATCGCACCGGTTGGATTGACATTTAAGAAGTGTTTGTCTGGTCGAGATGCCGACGATTGTGTGTGACGAAATCGGGAAATAACCATGATTGCTTAATGTATATTACAAAATGTAAAAGTAAATACACTTAGATAGATATGTATGTATATATGTGGAAAGACGAAGGAAGGGTGGGAGGGGTATACAGTGTCGTAAAAACATATTAGAAGAAATAAAAAGAAAAAGAAATGAAGAGAGAAGAGTGAGAGATAAGAATTAAAAAAAAAAAAAAAAAAAAAAAA